TGTTTGTTTGTTTGTTTGTTTGTTTGTTTGTTTGTTTGTTTGTTTGTTTGTTTTTTGTGTGTATGTATGTATGTCGAATTTTTATTTTTTTTGCAATTATGTGTAGACTATTGCGCATCTATTTCTGCATGACTTGTATTCTGGTTGTTTGAAGGAATGCGCATGGCCTGGATCAATTTGACTTGTAGGTGTTGAATTATATTTTGCCTCACATTATCTGCTAGAAATCTTCGCGATGGGTGTTGTGTGGATATCTCGGACCGTGATGGGTTGGCGCACAAATCTTATGCTCTTTACCTATGAACAGTGAAGAACAACGAGATGTTCAAGGATTAAGATGCTTCCGTAAATGCGGTGTATGCCCACGCCGAGCAAATGCGGAAAGCTGTATTGTAAGTTTCAAGTGATAATTTTGATGATAGGGGCGTGCACATTCTTGAGCGGTTTTGAGTTGGTTTATCGTCGGTCCCTCGCAAACTATTTAATACTATACTATCAGTAGGATATATTTTATCCTCACAATACTGTGCTGATATACTACACAGACTCCGTGATAATGGGGGGAAAACCCCCCTGCGGAGACGATATATGTGTGTTACGCCCGGCTGTGATTATCAACGCAACGGTGTGCCCGTGCACGTGAGAGGGGACTATAATGGAGATTGGAAATGTACTGTAAGTAAAGATCATTCGAAAGATTGCGATAGAGAGCCAACATCAAGGAACAGAAATTTACAACTTAGACATATGAAGTCCTCTCGTCTTGACTAGACACTCGAATAATTCAAATATGATCAGTTCAGCAGATGAGAGCTATATTACCCCCGTTGCAATTTTATCACACATGCACGTTTAGGTATCATCTACCTCATATTGATAATACCTGTTATATTCTCCCTTCTCTCAACTACAGCGCCGCTGATCTCAAAACGAAGCTCGATGATCCGAATGACATTAAAAGGGGTCAAATGCAGAACGTCTTACTTTCCGGTAGGTTTCAAATCAATTATTGTTTTATTGATGTTGACATTGTTACCGTGGTTGTCAAATATTAGTTATCGATTGCCTTTTATATATCTATAACCTTACACTCAATTTTTTATTTCATATATGCAGGTCGCATGGACTCTTTGTCGACAATCAAGTCAGAATATCCGCGGTTCCCAGAGTTCGTTCAAAAATGGTGTGAAGCAGATAAAAATTGAGCATACATTCTCTCTTTGGTTATATGCGATTATGTCCAACAGAAAGATGCAGTGATGTTTAATAGCTCTTACTTTGCGCCATCCGCGTGCAACCATTTCTGGCGATATTCTAGACATGTGAGCGTGCTGGACTGTACTTTTCTGAAAAACAATCTTCGAAATATGCCTCGCTGCTGTCTTGAATATTCTTCATTTTCTGGCTTTTTTTAATTTTAAATCCGGTCTGGTATCATGCTTATTTATGGAAAAAAAAATCACCAATAACCATTGAAGGTGTTATCGCTGTGATGACTTGCAAGGATGCAAAAAAAAATCAAAATGTTCCATGTGCATGGAGTCAACTACCGACAGAAAATCCCATCGGGTGGGACAGCTTCTGTAAGAGATTAAAGGTAGATTAAAAGTAGATTTCCCGGATTGTAAGATTGCTGTCGCAGACAAAGATAAAGGTCTGATGAAAACAAAAGATAGTCATCAGTTCCCAATAGCCAGGTGTGTTGGATAGAATGCTAATTTCAGTTTGTCTCTATTGATAGGCTTCTTTATTCTCTTTTATTTCCACGTTAAATACTAATGCAAAAAGGTAAATTGGCTACTTGCTATAATTTATGGGCTATGTGTGAGAAACACTTTCGTGACAATGTAACGACACTAGCATCGAAAAAGGGCTTCCAGTATAATAAAGAGACTCTGGATTATATGTACCGGTCGGCAGTCACACCAGTTGATGAGTAATTCAAGGTATGCTTTTTTTTGTATTTCTGTAGTGTAGTTATTTATGAGTTACCGATAGGCGCAAACCCCTGATAAGCTGAGAACAATTTATAAATTGCATTTGTTAGCACACACTTCAGCACTATATTAAAGAAATACAGAATCGAGGACACAAAGAAGTCGCCGGATCCTGCTGAAGCATAGAAAGGAATACACTATATCCGCACCCACCGGTGTGTTGAATTCTTTAATACTGTGGATATCGATCGCATTAATTATACTTTCTAATCAATTCGTACACGTACTAGAAATCAATATTTGCAGGTTTGGCGATGTGACTTCCAATTCAGTAGAACAAACAAACGACGCACTCGACCTGTTACCTAGCTTGGGACCGGTATGTCTGTGATACTTTACCTTATACACGAACCCTGTACAAGTAATATGTACACGTACCCCGTACACGTACCCCGTACACGTACACGTATCATGTACAGATACCATCTACACATACCCTGTACAGATACCATCTACACATATCATATACATGTACCCTGTACACATACCAATTCTGTTATCATTAACTCTATGAATGCAATACAAACTGAAGAACACAAAGAGAAAGAAATTTCAAAAAGTGCACATGGTAAACATAAAAATTATTAGCCTCACACGATAGACCGTACCTGGTAAAACTAGTTATCAAGACGATGTTGGGATTAATCGACTATTCGGGATAGCCGTGCTCGGTGGTAGGGGGATGCGTATTAGTTCAATATATAAAGTAGTTGCCGACATTGGCGGCCGTTACCTGTCATGGACGGGTGTCTGTTTCACGCGTCTAAGGATAAAACCTGTTTACTATTCACCCGTTTGAGGTACTTTACTGAGTGATCAAATCCCAGATATTCAATATGTTCATCTATATGAAAATGGTTGGGCTGTTAAAGGATATCGTAAATTCAACTTGGTATACAGTACAACCCTTTCGCGTAATAGTTGCAACAAAGGTCGGTAATGGCGAAGAGATTCAACATCATGTTCGCTAAATGGAAGTCCGAGAAAACTAAAATCAGCAACAGCGTACTTGGATCACTAAATTCAGCAACAGCGTACTTGGATCGCCTAGTTGGTATCAATCCGCGCAATCAAAGGCTCTGGCTTCCGAATCCATACCGCCTGTGTGGGGGAATGACAATATAGTACACTCAAACCTAGCTAAGACCTCTTATAGATGTTGACGCACCGTCTGCAATAGAATGCTCTTAGCGTAAGTTGAGATTCTCATATCATACGATTACCAATAGCTCCAATAAACAGTAGCATATACATGTATTTAATTAGGCGGTCGCGAGAACAATGAATGATTAATGCCTTATGTGTAACACCCCCAACTCCCCCCTCCCCACATGCTCACAACTATACAATTGCATTTTCATTGGCACTAAACTGATTATATTATGAAAATCCACTTTTTGTTTTTTTAGACTTTTGGTCCTTTGGTTATCAGTGAAAACAGCACATTGTACTCATCCACATACACACACATATATATATATAGTAATATATATATATAGTCATATATATATATATATATATATATATATATATATATATATATATATATATATATATATATATATATATATATATATATATATATATATATATAGTATTATATATATATATATATAT